CGTTCCCCCCCCCCCCCCGCAGTGGTTAATCAACAGAGCTAGTTGAAAGCAGGGGAATGCTCTGCCCCCTTTTTATGGGTAAATGAAGTGGTAGGGTAACAGCTGGGTTTGAGTACTGCTGCTGACCCACTGCTCCGGGATGATCAGATGGGTGGGAAGGTTACAGACTGCCTGTCCCTTCCTGTGTCATTACATCCGTGCGGAGGGTTTGGCGATAGCTGGCGTTTGTCTTGCATCCAGTCCGCGCTCAAAACAAGAGTCCCGAGTACGAACGTCAGTGCACAATCACCTCTAGCAGACTCCATTGTGTGTCTCCAAAATGCATTTGTTAGCAGGGCCTGATCCTGTCCTTCAGAAAGCAACTAACCTGCAATCTGCAAATTTAATTTCTTTCTCCCGAGGTGAGTGTGCCCCAGATGAGGCTTTGATCTGGGAAGCTCAGCTGATTCTGACCTAGTCTGTGGAAGGATCCCAGAGACCAGCTGGCTGTGATTTGCAAGTCAGATGGCTGCTACTACATGGGAACAGCTTGCTTGATCTAGAGCTCAGTTCTGCCTTTTAAGAGCGACTTGTTTTGTGTAAATTGAGCTTTGCTAGGAAATGGTTATATGGCTGAACTAAACCCAGCAAAAAACCCCCCAGAACATTATATTTTGGGACAATTCAGGTTTGAATGCCAGCAGTTCCTGGGTCCCTCCTTCCCAGAATTTTAAAATATTACCTACCCTTTGGAAAATGAACCCTTTAAAGACAGCTGGAAGCGGCACATATCAAACAACTAACAGTCCTTGAAAAATTAGGCTGTGCCTTTTTCTCCAATACAGGAAGCAAAATCGCTACAAATGGCAATACTGAAGTGTAGCATGAGAAGGTGGATAAACACCATTCACCGAGCAAGGCATCGCTTTGGCTTGGCAAGTGGGGTGCTGCCCTGCGGGGCTGGTCAGTTGATTGCACGCAGTCACATTTTCCTGAGTTATTGCCCAAAAAGCTGTGAGTTTTATAATAACTCATTAGCCTCGAGCTTCTGGTCTGTTTACAGCATGTGAATTAATGGGTTAGTGCCATGTCTCAACGTGGGAGAGGAGTGAGAGGAAAATGGGAAGAGGCAGTCATTTCTAGATGAAGAACGTAATCTTGAGCTGAAGGGGCCTTTGCAATTAACTTCCTCTGTTGCCTGTCCCAGATGCTTTCCTTGTTCTAGAGTGTGGTCCTCCGACTTCTAAACCAGGGATGTAATCGTGGTCTTCGAAAGCATTTTGCGCCATAACAAAACCAGGAGTAATAACTGTGCATGATCATGTAATTTTTTTTTTTTTTTTCTTTTTTCATCTGCACAGGGACCCTCCAGAGGGATCGAATTTTTAAGAACCTCACTCGGAAACGCCAGCGGGCAATGCGAAGGCGAGTGCATCAGGTGAACGGGCACAAATTCATGGCTACCTATCTGCGACAGCCTACGTACTGCTCACACTGCAAGGAGTTCATCTGGTAAGAACGTCTCGAACGCGGTGGTGTGGAGCTTCCCGTCCCTTCGCGTTTTGGGGACCGACATGCCACCTCCAATCCTGAATCAGTCATCCAGCACTTTACCAAGGGCCACTGATGTGACTCCCCTTGGCCATCAGGTTTAGCAGGGTACATTTATGCTGCAAACTGGAGTCTACTGCAGAGAGGCCAGAGGTGATGTGCGTCTTGGATGCTGGAAGCAAACTGGGAGCATGCAGGGATGGGGCAGTGTTCCTCACTTGTGAGCGTAGATATTATTTCAGGGGGGGAAATTGTGAGCGTAGATATTATTTCAGGGGGGGGGGGAAAGTAACCCAAGCAATCTGAAGAAAGACCCCAGATATTAACTTGAGTGGAGCTTTGAGATTACGCTTAGAAAAAACAGTTGCTCGAAAGACTAGAGAAAATGCCTGAGAACAGAAAAGCCATCAGAGGTGTGAGGTGTGGGGTGATACATGTGGGGGAGTAGGCAGAGCAGGGAGAAAAACTTAGATATGTCTCAAAAGAGTGTGGAGTGGGAGAGATAATAACAGGGTGTGGGCTGCTGGGATCAGTCTAATAAGTGTGGTGTGTGTTGTAATAAAGTGAGGTATTTCAGAAACTAGAGTGAGGGGGAATATGGGGAATACATGCATATTGACAGCCCGTCCTGTAAGCTATGGCCCTTGCAGTGCTTTGTTATGCTCTCACACCCCTGTGCTGAATTGCACCACTATTGCTGGGCAGTTTTGCCCCGGGGATCTGGTCATTTGGGATCCTCTTGCGTTTTGGCACTCTCTTCTGTAAACCATCTGCAAGAAGACTGGCTTTCTGATTTTAAATTATGTTCACATTTTGTTTTGAACAGGGGCGTCTTTGGGAAGCAGGGATACCAGTGCCAAGGTAAGGTGCACTGCTCCTGCACGGTGCGTGTAGGATGTGCTGTCTCAGGAGCACTCTCCTGTGCTGCTGGGACATCCTGCGGTTACAAGCTTCTCTGAAGTCACCGCTCCTCTTCCTCCCCAGCCAGCCAAAACTGTACATTTGAGCAGCTGTCAGGCTGACGACTTGCATGCACGCAGGAGCCACCACCTACACGCAAACACCTAGGGGTCCGGTTGCTGTTTTCACCCACAGTTTTCCTCCTGTGCAGATCCACTGAGTTGCTGAGTACATGCAATACCCAGCTAGGCTTGAGAGATCCAGGGTCCCTTCAGGGCAGTGTTCAGCTGGTATTGGGACACAAAGTGTCCTACTGGAATGGCCACCCTCTTCCTTTCTCCACCTATGTAGTTCCACAAAGTGGAACTAGGGATGTGACTTCAAAGGGCGGCCTTGTGGGCTGGCACAGCACTTTTGTCTGAATGCATGTTTTGGCTGAATGGCTGTATAGACGTATGTGATGCTTGTTTGCACTTAATTATTGTTCTTCCTTTCCCTTTTTCTATGGTAAGATTTTATTTTTATGTTTTCTATTTTATTACTTGCACGCAGGTGTATGGTCACTCAGTATAGCCTTCCAACACAGCCTGTTTCTTGTGCAACACAATAGGGCACTGGTGTCCTCATATGAAAAGAAGCTACCTGTAAACAAAATGGATATCCTGCATAAAATTTCTGGGTGGAAGTGAATGTTATTGACAGACCCTTATGAGTGGAAGCTTGAGTCAGCAACAAATAGAATAGGGTGGGACCCTGCAACACATCTGCAACGTACAGTTTCCATTACAAAAATCCCCTTATGTAGACAGTAGCTACGGCCCTTGGTGGTGTCTACAATGCACGCGGGGTTATGGAGTGGAGGAATCCCAAGTTCATTCCAGCCAAGCCAGCTTCAGACCTGGAGAGAACCCAACTCTGCTTTAGGGCTGATTAGCCCTCTTGATGGGGACTAACTAATTAGCCCAGACGCAGCACCATTCCGCTGCAGTTATCCAGCTCCCCAGATCCAAGCATTGCACTTAATGACAAACTAACCTGGGCAGGACTCACTCAGGTATCCAGTGTGAGAGACGCTATGCCACTGAGATGTAGGGATGGCTTTTGATATCTCAGACCTGTGTTCTCTAATATTGTTTGTGTGTGTTGTGAGAAATACTCGCCACTGGATAATTTCAACAGCATCCACTGTTATTTCTGTGGGCATCACCCGTATTTTATATAGGCAGCTGTTTTCTAGCCTGTATGAATGAGCCAGCGCAGAATTTCTGTTGCAATATGTTGGATATACATCTCCAGATCTGTTATGAGATTTTGGATTCCAAGCCAGCGATTATTTTTCACATCTTTACTGTGTCCTGATGATACAGCTGAGCCTTAAAGAACCCAGCTGATGGGTTGATGTGTTCTGAGCCTTTCAACAGCTCTTTTCAGCATGCCTCTTTTATTTCCTAGTATGCACCTGTGTTGTACACAAGCGCTGCCATCATCTAATTGTTACAGCTTGCACGTGCCAAAACAATACTAACAAGACCGATCTCAAGGTAAAGTCATGGTGGTTATTTTGGGTCATCATAATTTGTGAATCCTGAGGTTTTCTGGGTTGCTGGGGGTTGTCCTATAATAGAATTTACTCTGTGTTATCTTTATTCATAGATTTTAAAGTGAAGAAGAGCGATAGGGACATGCATAAGGGCTATGCAATATCATCTGGTTGTTCTTCTGTTAATTCCAGTAACTGGTTGGACTAGCACATAGTTTAGGAAGGCATGGTGTCTTCATTGGAAGACATCAAGAATTAGCAAATCCGCTGTTTTCCTTGGTCATTTTCTTTCATGTTTAACTGTGTTGTCATCAAAATTTGGTGCCCAGTTCTTAATGTGGATTTATCTGGTTTTAAAGTCTAACCACTGGTCTTTGTTATGCCTCTCTTTTCTGGTAATTTAAAGTGCTCATTTAGTCATTGCTCCACACCTTTACTCTATGAAATGATTTATGTTGTAATAAAGAACCCTTGCATAACTTGTGTTTCTGAAGGTTTTCTTTCTTGCTAGTTTTGGCTGTATTTGACAGGAGTAACATCCCCACCTAAAACTGCCCTGTATATTGCATGTCTCATTTCTGTAGCTGGAAATTGTTTAATAACTGTTTGAGGAAAATTCAACTGAAATATTTTTAATTGAGAGGTGGCTCCGTATTGTGCGCCATGCAGAAACCTTCTTTCCGGTGCAGATAAGCAATTGCCTTTGCTCGTTATTTCTTGCCTCCCAACTGCTGAGCTAGACTTCTTTAAAATGACCCCTTGCCAAACCAGATGAAAATAAGTTAAAATGCTTAAGGCTAAAGTGCAAGTTAAACGGTGAATCTCCTCACCCCTCTTTCAGGATTGTGAAGGGTTTATAACACCTCTAAACTACTTTCAAAGAAGACAAAGGTGAGGAGGCACCGCTCACTGTAAACTCATTGTTTCAGTCGCACCCTGGACTTTTCTTTGTCAAGTTGTGGGTTGCCCCTCAGCCTTCCAGGATCTGCATGTTGAGACGCAAAATGGAAAGTAATGAAGAGGTTCAATGGGGAGGGGTTTCTTCAGCCGATCTAACATTTTCTAAGGTGTCTTTGAGATCTGCATGATTCACAGTTGGAAAAGAGCAAGGTTGAAAAGGGGATGAGAGCAAGTGATAAAGTGAAATGTGGGCCTGAAATGGAAGACTGTTAATAACAAGGAGGGTGAGAAGAGGGATGAGAATTTTAGGAGGAGCCGGGAAAACTATTCTATATTAAATTTCATAAAATCAACAGTTTGACCTAAAGTTACATGTTTGCACATGTATGCAAGTTAATAATTTGAAAACTGGTTAGTTACAAAATGCTGTAGCTAACATAATTTATATGTGGCACTTCAGTGTGATAGGTTTGTGATGAGGTAATCCACACTTCTAATTCGAACTTGGTTTTAAGAATTTAAAATTGGCTAGGCAGCCCTTTTTAAAATGTGCTTTGTCAGGTAGTCCAGCCTGACCGGCAAGGAAACCAGAGCAGGCTCGCGGCAGGTGAGGTTGGTCACTCAGTGTTCACTTGCAGTAAACCTCAGTGAGGTGATGGATTGGGACGTTTTCATAGTTTTTCACTTAAATGCCTGTATGTAAATGAACATCAGCTTATACATATGTATTTGAATTTGAAATCTGTGCTTTTCTTTTGGTGCCTCAGGTGACTGAACAGAGGTTTGGAATCAACATTCCTCATAAGTTCAGCGTCCACAACTACAAAGTCCCGACTTTCTGTGACCACTGCGGTTCCTTGCTCTGGGGACTCATGCGACAGGGCTTACAGTGTAAAAGTGAGCAGCTTCTTACTGTAGCCTTTTCACAAAATACATATATTTTTAGACTCTTGATGCACTGTGTGGGCTTGATTTGTGCAGCCTTCAAGAGAAAGCCAAGCAATGAATATTCATCTTTGCAAGAGTTAACACAAATGCTGATCAACTTTTTAATCTCAGGATTAAAAGGACTCTACTTCGCACTCTCAGCAGAGCTTTGTTTAACTGGCATTATTGAAAATATTCTTGGGTATCGCTGCTTCCTGCATTCATTTTTCCCTTTACCTGAAGGCTTTTCCTCAGCTAAGGAGATAAGGCGCAGAGCTTTGTTTAACTGGCATTATTGAAAATATTCTTGGGTATCGCTGCTTCCTGCATTCATTTTTCCCTTTACCTGAAGGCTTTTCCTCAGCTAATGAGATAAGGCAATGAAAAGGCATCTGAGGGGGAAAAAAAAGGTCATTGCTTTAGGTTGACTACCCTGTCTGTCATACTGTTAATTGATGACAAAGCATGTCCTGGTGGTATGTTTTTGTTTCAGTGATCCAGACTGTAAAATCGTATGGGTAACAAACAGTTTCCATTTGCCTTCATTTCCCACAAGAGGGTGTATGTGTGTCCACGAGTGAGAGCAAGAAAGATTTTAGTTTCCCACTGAACAATATATCTTTAAAGTTAGATACCTGCAAATGCAGGGGAAGTTTGTTGCAAATTCTGTGGCATTATAATTCCAAATTTTACCTGCAGGCATAGCTGCAATGGTATTTCTATACCTGACAGACACGTGCTTATGAATAGCTTCAGGCAATGTGGCATCCTACTTGAAGAGTTTGGGGTATATTCCTGGTTTTCAGGAGTTTATTCTCTTATGAGAGTCCTAATTTTGTTTCTGCTGAGATCAGTGGCAAAAATCCTTTTAGTTTAAAGACACAGGGTAGATCCAGATGGATATATTTCCTGAAGCGGGATTACTAAATTATTTCTCAGCAATAAATCCCTCCAAGTTATTTTAATTGTTCCTTTGCTTTTACTTTCCATGCCTACCATCACCCCTGTCAGTCTGTAAAATGAACGTCCACATCCGATGCCAAGCAAACGTTGCGCCAAACTGTGGGGTGAACTCAGCAGAGCTTGCTAAAACCTTGGCATGCATGGGTCTGCAACCAGGAAGCATTTCCCCAAATTCGGTGAGTCTTTTTCTTCTTTATTTTTTCCTCCTCTATTTAAAACATTTACAACTAAGTCTTTACACGGGTGCAGGAGAAGTCAGAGACTTCAGTTATGGCAGATGGCATTGGATGGTGGACTGCATGAGTAGGTTGTTACTGGCTGAGGCTTGTGGCAAAGACTTCACCTGGAAAATGGATGTCTTGTATCCAGGTTTACCCTGACGGAGGCTTTAGTCTGTAGGTGTTGCTTATGTTTCACAGTGGTGTGACTCCATTGACTCTTTTATCTGTTTGACATGAATGAGAGGAGAATAAGACCCCAAACTAATTAATGGTCAATATAATTCATGTCATACCCTTTTTTTACCTTTCCTGCGAACACAAATGCACTGTCTGCATATGTGGCTTGGAATAGAGTATAAGAAGAGCTCAGTAAGAGGCCCACGTGCTCTTCCCTGCTTTGTCACTGTTTTTCTGAGTGATTTTGGGGAAACTGTTTCACTATTCACTACAGTTTCCCCAGCTAAAGTCTGTGGTCCCTGTCAACACATCATCATCTCTGGTCTCTGCTGTCCAAGCTAGGGTCCTAGTGAGCTTGTTGCTAGGGTTGGGACATATGTGTACAATTTCTGCTTGTCACTACTTAAGGCATCCTAAAAATCCAGCTGTTGTATATCTGAGTCTATTCAGAGAGTCTAAAACACACTGTGAGAGCTTGAGTGAAAATGCCCATAAAGGGTAATGGAAATCAGAGCTGTCATTTGATAACAAGTTTTCATCACATTCCCTTTGCTAGCAGTTTTGAAAAGTGAGTTTGCTTGAAACCACAATAACCCATAATAAAATGTTGGGCTATTTATTTTTATTTGACCAGAAAGAAAATATTAAAAACATACTTGCCAGACCTGGTAAATCTTGTCATACAGTTAGTCAGCTACACCGGTTGACCACATGATGCTGTATCAGCCTAGCCTGCTCATTAGGCTGTGCTGCCCCTTTTGATTTCAGTTGGTTTGCAGCAAATGAGACTTTCTTATCTTCGCTTTTCATGCTGTTGCAGTTCAGGGGGACAGCTATCCTGGGAGTTACAGGGAAACACAAGCCCCACACTCCCGTCTCAGTTCTGTAAAAATCAGCGCTTGTTAGCATTTGTTGTTTGCATAATCTGCACATCAAAAGGAGATGAAACCAGGAAAATAAAAATCTGTGCTTGGTGTTTAACAATCTCTTCTCGTTATTTGTGAGCTAACAGCTCCAGGTAAGTGTTCAGACTGTGCTGTAAGCTTAAATCTGTTGGGAGTTTTGCTGGGTGCTGTCCTGAACGCTCTTGGTTCTTTCCCCATGGCTGGGGTTGCCATTTCTGTGGCAGTGAGACAAGTCATCTGTGCAGGAAGAATTTTGCTTTACACCAAAGTAGTCACAAGGTGGAGCTCAAGAAGTCTGCGTGCCTTTGTTCAGGCTAATAAACTGAATAAAAAGTACTCGTGGTTTATATGCGTACTCATACCTGGAGAGCTGTGAACAGAGGGCACTGGAGGTTGACTTGATCTTTGTATACTGCAAAAACCAAAGCTCTAGAAATGCATGCTAATTATTGGTACGATTCCTGAAAACGCAGATGCCTCACTGCTGGCATGGGAATGAACAGCCTTCTATTGAATTTACAGCAGTGGAGGAAGCCAGCAGCCCAGCTGTGGAAAAGAAAAATATTTTGGAGTTTGGGTCCCACTGAACTGGGCTTTGAGTAAGAGTCTTAAAATCAGGTAGAAACCTAAGAGATTCAGATGAAATCTGCTCGGGTTCTAGATCTCCCCAGCACCTTGCATATTGCAGAAATTACGCAGTCCTCCTCGCTCTGATGTTAGATAGGAGACTTGGATTTCCATGCTCATTGTCTTATTTTTCTGGGGAGTGAGGATGGAGAGAGGCAGGCTTGCCTCTTGGATCTGCTGGGCAGTGGGTTTACAACTTAAAATGCCCAGGTCAGGAACCAGTGCTGACGCCTCAGCACAGCTCTGTGCAGTGCCAAGGTTGGCTGGTCAGGCGTAACAGCTATGCAGGGTGGTGGTACCAACGTGCTTTCTGTTCCAGTGGCCATACAGTGCATCTGAACAGGTCCTAAATGCCCAGGTTGGTAGGTTGACTACTTGTGTACACCTCTGAGGCAAAAGTACAATTTCTGTGCAGACTGATACTTATTTACTTTCCTCCACAGAAACTGGTTTCAAGATCTACTTTGAGACATCAGGGAAAAGGCAGCCTGAAAGGTGGCAACAACGTTAGTGAAAGCTCAGCGAGCAAACTTGGGATCAAAGACTTAACCTTCCTTCGTGTATTGGGAAAGGGCAGTTTTGGAAAGGTGAGAGTTATTCGGGGAAAACCACGTTCCTTATTTAAGAAGCTCCAAGGTAGATGAAGTTCTTTCGTAATATGGCACACAGGCTGTCCAGTGGAGTATGCTTTGCACAACAAGGTTGGTTACAGAGAGCAGGGAGAAAAGGGAAGAGAAAGCAAGCTGACAGCGAAGTGAAGAATTTGATATCACAAAAAAGAGAAAAGTTAGCAACCAAAGGAACAGCTGCATGCCAGGGCCCATACCAGAAATTGCAAGTGTGTGCATTAGCACTTGTTTGGGCAGCATTTCTTGGAGCGTGCAAAGACTTTTCCTTTAAAGGAAACAAGGCAGTGGTTTCAAATGCAGCGAGATGGGGGTTTTGTTTCTCTGCTTTGCCACAAAGCCAATGTGAAGTAGTGCATTTGAATTTGATAACTGAGGAGGGAAGTGGGATGGATGGCACTGCTCAGGGGGCTTGCCCTGGCACAGTGGATGAGCTTTGACCAGCTAGCCCTGCACCAGACGTTGGAGCAACGTGTGTGGGCACTTCTGTCTGGAGAAGCCTTCTGCAGACAGTAGCATGTGTGTCATCAGTTGTACGCTGGTGCCCATACTAACAGGCTGACTCACTTGCATCCACAAGCCTGGTCATGAGGTAACTGACCTTTCTAGTGTGAGAAGGTGCGAGAGGCTCTGTGTTGCTCGTAAGAGGCTGAGGGCTCAGCCCTTGCGATTCACCCTCCCCTTTGGTTTAGGTGATGCTTGCCAAGATGAAAGAGAGTGGGCAGCTCTATGCAGTGAAGGTGTTGAAGAAGGACGTCATTCTCCAAGATGACGATGTTGAATGCACCATGACCGAGAAACGCATCCTTTCCTTAGCAAGGAACCACCCATTCCTCACCAAGCTCTACTGTTGCTTCCAGACTCCTGTAAGTATAGCCCAGGCAGCAGACAGCCTTCCTCCTGACACAGGCTAGCACGTTGCAGACAGAGGCACTCTCCTGTGTATTTGGTCCCTGGCCTGTTATAATTGTCTACCTTAGATCCAGGAGAAACCTCTGCTGAAGAGTGAACAGAGCACTCTGCTATATGTCACCTCTAACATCTGCTGGGCATTTGGCAAACAAAATCCTGTCTGCTTGTAGGCTCCCTAATGAAATGGTAATAACAGGGAAGCCTTTCTTTGTGTCTTCCCTTGTAAACATCTCTGTGCCATTGAATATTTCTAAATGCATATGTGCAAATGTCTACAGACCTGCAGTGTCCTCCGGTTGCTGTGGGATCTCAGGCTCTGCTGTCTTGCTACCTGAATTTTAACAGGACTGTATTTGCATTGAATTTTCTGCAAGCTCAATGAATTGTACTTGGAAGCAGGGGTAGCCTCCTGTATCTGCCAGCCTTTGTATACTGCTCGGAACTGAATGAAAGATCCTTCTGGGGTTACTGGAAAGTATCTTACTGACATGGGTGGACACTGAATCAGATCCATATACAGCTGGTATTTCTTCTCGTGTAGATTAGACAAATGATAGCATTGCTGTCACTTGTGGTATTTATACCTCAGCGGAGGACTGCACATGTGCTGCCTGTCCAGCTTAGAGCCTCCTCTGGTGGGAGCTTGTTGCTGGTGTGGGTGGTGGAGGGAGGAGTGGCTGGGGGGGGGGGGGGGGGGTGGGGGGGGGGGCGGGGCCCCCAGCCGTGTCCCAGCAAGGTAAGTTTGGGAGTCCCTGAGCTAAGCTGTTATTAGGACCAAAGCATTTTCTGCAGTGTAGCTCTTCCAAACTGCCTGGGCTCCTTTCCAGTTGCTTTTTGTCCATTGCTGAGTGGTAATAGAGCTTCTTTTCCTCTTAGAAAAGGCAGGAGAAACTTGCCCTTTTAATTGTGGCTTCACTCCTCCTACATAAACGCAAAATACAAAAAAAAAAAAAAACAACCCCAAAAAACAACCCCCCCCAAAAAAGGGGGGCAGACAAATGCATCCTGCCACCCACTCATTTCACTTCTCACTAGGGTGATGCAACAGCCAGCTATGGAGTTTGAGAGTTGCGCTTGTTTAGGGTGGAGCCCTTGGGTAGACTCACGTAATAGAAATGAGGTGGTTTGGTTTTTGTTTTTTTTTATATAGAGCTTACGTGGTTCACTGAGCAGCTGTGCTGTATAGCAGAAACAAAACTTAAAGCTCACTGTTGTCACTAGTAACCAAGGAAACTTCTCTTTTATTTCATAGTATGAAGACACAGGGCCCAAATTTGAGTGGCTTTGCTGAAGTTCTCATGTAAAATATCGGAAAAGTCCAGTATTGATGTGTGCTGTTTGAGATTAGATGTGGGATAGCAGTGGGTTTTGCCACTCATTTCTATGCTCTTCACTATGGCTTTGCTTACTGAATTGCAATGTAGATGTGAAAATAGCAAGTGTGCTCCTGGGCTGTGTAGAGTATTTCCCATGAACTTAGGGAAGATTTAAGGTCACTGTGCTAGTACCATCCGTCATGTTCAAAAAATGAATGCAATCTGCTATGGGTGCAGACAAGGTCTTCTGGGCTGATGAAGTAATTGCAGAGTCTTTTGCAAAGGGGGGAAAAAAAGGGAAGAACTCAGCCTGTTTAGACTAGCAAATTGAAAGCAAAAAGAGGATCTGATTGTTGTCTGCAGATGTCAAACACTGGGGAGGGAAACAAAGCTGTCAAGATGCTGGCTAAGATTAAAAGAGTCTAGACTGGCCATGGATACAGTTAGACTGGAAATGAAAAGGAGGTTGCTAAACAGTAGAGCAGCCTGGAACAGGAATTTCTGGACCAGCTTCTTGTCAGAGGAGCAGAGGGAAGAACCCCTCAGCCCTTGCTGCCCTGAACGCAGAGCTGGTCAGTCTCTGAAAGGGTGCCAAGGGAGTGGTGCTTGTCGTAGCAGGACCCTGCTATTTCCAGTCTTTCCAGGTTGCTCTTTTACTTGAATCCCCCTTTACTTCATTATCTGGATTGTCAGTAACAGAAAACCACTTCCCTCCAATAATAAGCAAAACCCAAAAGGGAAGCATTCATAAAAGAAAAAGTAGACTTCAGACTAATTTAGTTCATCGCGTCTTTTGTCTGTTCTGCACTCAGTGACACCCACCTCAATCCAGAATAACCAGATGTAAATTGCTTATTAAAGTATAATTAAATCCCTTTGCTATAATAGACATGATTGCAGTAGCAGGGTATTCATTGGACAGAGTCCTTCCAGGAGGGCTTAACTGGGCTGATACAGTACTTAGGGTTTCTGCTTTTTCTTTACATGGCATTGGGTTAGCCCTTCCATTAACACAAACCTGGCAGAAAAGAATATATATATATAATATATATATAAAAAAATAGTAGCCACTTATTCAAAATGTCGGCCTGCAGCCATATTTTAAAATACCAAAGCACTTGCTTGTGTTTGGAGTTGAGGGGAGGGTTACACAAAACAATACCTAGTTTCACTTGTAATTACATGGAAACCACATCACATGTATCACACTTACAGCCCAAACTCTGAAAATGTGGTATTAACGGTTCATGTTATAAAAAACAAAGCATGATTCCAGTCTGCCGTGGAGATCCTGGATAAATAACGACCTACTGGGCCTGCCGTTAGGAATTTTTCAAGAACTAGCCATTTTGAGGCTTCTTACCGTTTGTCAAAGCAAAGTCAGAGCCTGATCCCATACGATGCATCAAGACAGGCTGGGACTAACTGGCAGGGTAGTAGCCCTGGGGCTTATGGTAGGTGCCAAGTTCAGTATAAGCCAGCAGTGCGGTCTCATTGCACATAAGTTTAAATTATGTACTGGGCTGCTTCAGGAGCTCAGGGGAAGTCATTATCCCCTCTGCCTGGCACTGGTGAGGCTGCACCTGGAATAGGGGTGTCCAGCTATGGCCCCTCCCTCCCAGTTCAAGAGGAAATTGTGGAAACTGGAAAGGAAGGGCCTTGGAAGCACCTGAATGCTGCAGCAGTTTGAGGACAGGGCGCTCAAAGGGTTTCAGGGTTTGGCTGGATCTAGAGACATTTGAATTCTGACTCTTGTATGATATTCCACCCAAACTAGCAAACTCTTCTCCTGATTTATGCAGCCTCGGGCTGACTTAAACAGCCTGGGGCATGTCTGTGCTGCACAGTGCAATGTCATGTAGTGCTAGTAACGTAGCATTAGCTCAGCTGGCACGAGTACCAGAAGCAGCAATGCATTGCCTGAGTTCATCTATGTTGCTGCTACTTTTGCTCATCTGTTTTAGAGCTAGCTGAGGTTTTTCTGTGCTTACATTAGCTGCTGATGGTTTTCAGAAAGGTTTTCTGTTCTCTTGTGCTGCCTCTGTGCTCAGTGTGGTCCTAATTTAGTCTCAGCTGCAGCATAAGTGATATCTGCTAGCAAGGGCTGCTTTATTTGCCCAGGGTGGGCTGAGGCTGCCTGACCTCCAAACACCCTCCTTGCTCTGTCACAGCGAAATATTGCAGCCACTAGGTGGTAGGAGCTGCAAGCGTTGTCTCTGCCTGGTATAGGTCACAGTTTTCAGAGCCTAAAGAGGAAATATTAGCTGCACAGCAGGCTGGCAGAGGCTGGACATGGCCCTGTGCATGCCCAGTGCTGGGCTGGGCAATTTTGGACTTGCACCTCCAGATTCCTTTCCTGTGAAAGGCAAGGAAGGAGTCCTGCTGGTCTCTTGCGGGGGGGGGGGGGGGGGGGGGGCAGTTTC